GTCTTTACTATTTACTCTTGGGGAATAGGGGACTAGTGAATCTGGTCAGTTTCAGGGACTTCCTGAAGCTGTTTTGAGTTGTTTATCTTGTGTCTTAAGGAGCTTCCCTGTAGGATGAACTGTCTCAGTGGGGGAAGGAAACTGCTACACAACATAATGAATATATCAAGTATTCCTTGCTATATAGAGAAAAATTATGACCAGGAGTTACTTTGATACAATAAACCATAGAGAATTAATAATTCCAGATTATAGGTATTGAACCTACTCCTAAGAATTCATAATCCTTGTGCTATCTTACCACACCATGTTCTATAGCCAGTTGAATAAGCCATTAGGCCCATACCTTGAAAGTGTTGGTATGTATCCTTCCTCTATCAATAAATCCCCTAATCTGTACTATTATTTAAATTATTATATCAGCCAGCTTAATTACTATATTCATTTCATGATTAATACCTACATTAATCAAACTAGAAATAAGTATACTAGTAGTTATTACAACTCTTATTAAAGTTCAAAATTGTACTCTACAGAAATTGCAATCAAGAAATATAAATTCAAATAACAGCTTTGGTAATTCTGATAATAGTTATTATAACTAGTCTCAATACAAAATAGTTAACTCCTCAAAAGACCGGTTGTAAGTTAGCCTACCATATTATTATTAGGATTAGTAATGAAATGAGACCTAACTCCGTATCACTCCTAAATACTAGAAATAACTCAAAGAATTCTCCTATTATTGGGAATAAGCTTATTAACATAACAAAAATTGTTCATGATCAAGTTGTCACTTCACTTAACCCTGCTCTAAGCCTATTCCACTAATCCATCTATTTTAGTAAGAGAATGAGATGAACAAAACCAAATTCAGCTATGGGAAATCTTAGCATAGTCTCCTGTTTCACACACACAGGATAGAGGGTAGCTATTATTGCCTAGAATCCATCAGTAATTGTCTTAGTTAGGGTTTCTATTGCTGTGAAGAGACATCATGAACACAGCAACTCTTAGAAAGGAAAATATTTAATTGGGGCTGGCTTACAGTTTCAGAGGTTTAGTCCATTATCATCATGGCAGGATATGGTAGTGTGAAGACTGACATGGTGCTGGAGAAGAAGCTGAAATTTCTACATCTTGATCCACAGGCAAAAAGAAGTGAGCTGTCTTACTGGATGTCACTTGAGTATTTATGAGACCTCAAAGCCCACCTCCACAGTGGCACACTTCTTCCAACAAGGACACATCTACTCCAAAAAGACCACACTTCCTAGTAATGCCACTCCCTATGGGCCAAGTATTCAAACACATGAGTCTATGGGGGCCATACTTATTCAAACAACCACAGTAATATAGATTAACTTCCTGATTTATATTCTATTAATAATTTCAATTCCAACATTAAATCAATTCAAATATAACTACATCTTCATCTCATCTGTGAAGCAGATTACTTCTAATAATCCAAAGTATCCTAACAACCTTTCTATTGCCTAGAAAACTGCATATTTTTTAAGATTTCTACTAAATTGAACTATCATTCAAGAAGTATCAAAGGTAGGGGCTGGAGAGATGGATCAGTGGTTTGGAGCACTTGCTGCTCTTGCAGAGGACCTGGGTTCAATTTCCAGCACCCACGTGGTGCTTCAAAAACATCTGTGCCTCATAACTTCAGATCCAGGGGGTCCAATGCCTTCTTCTCATCTTTACAAGAACAGGCATGGATGTGGAGCACATGCATATACTAGCAGGTAAGAACCGTCAAACACATAAAATAAAATAAATAAATCTAAAGAAGGACATAAAAAAATAAAACTGTAAATCCATTTTGATGGTTATTCCAGCTTTAACTGGACTTTATATACAACTTATTTTTCTCATTCCCTACCCTCATTTCTATCAGCAACGTTAAAAACAAAATGGCCATTTGGCATTTCAAAAAGACCCATTTCCATTTTTATTATGTTACCATTCTCACTCCCTTGGGCCCTCTATCATTTGTTTTTAAATTTATTAATTCTTTGAAAATTTTGTACATATTGATCAGAGTCACCACCTAACTCTTCCAAGATCCACCCTCTTCCTTACCCATTTAACTTCGTGCTGTTTTTTGTTTTTAAATCTCATTTAGGGAAGAGGCTGGGTTGAAAAGAGCTGGGAGGAGCCACAGGTGCTGGGTGGGACTGGAGGCCGCCATGTGCTTTGGTAAGCTACCACACTTAGCTATTTGTTCTGTTTATTTTGGACCTGACACTTCAGCCTCTTTGTAGATGATGAGGGTCAAGATAATCTCTTCTGTAACTGCTTCTCAGGTGGTATCAGAATGTTGTGGTTCAGGCCCAGGAAGGCTGGAATGT